CAATCGCCAAATAATTGTTGATATCTTCAGGACTCGGATCAAAGACCAACGAATCGATGGGATATTGGCTCTTGAGGTCATTCCCCTTATCACACTTGGTTTGTATGGGACCGTAGTTTTTGTTATCATGGTGACTGACACCACACCTATACATACTGTTGTTGTGGAATATGTTGAATACAATGCGATTAGTATGCGGTTTAAGCCACAACTTGGTGGCCATATCCAATGTGTCGTCATCCCTGAGGATAACCTTCCACTGATTGGACAGATTGTAAAACCATAACTGATTTTGGGTGACATCACTCCACCGGTCATTATATACGCGAAGGTCTGCCAACTTGTCGATGGCTTTGATGTCATCGCAATTGTCTGTACACTGAATGCATTGAATGGTCAGACATATGATCATAACTATTGATAACATTGTCTTCGGCACTGAAATGACAGTTAGTTAATGGAAGTGCCATTTAATCACTATTAATTCAAATGAGTATCTCGTGGTATTTTATACATTGTTTAAATATTACAATTAAAACTCATAGTATTTTGTTAACTAATTTGTTTAAACAGTTCAATACCTAACAGTAATCTAAAAAACTTAATTAACAGTTGTATTAAACCAAATGATTGAGACAATGATTACAATGACAGTACTATTAGTGATAATTAATGTCCATTTTATTCACAGTCAAGACATCTGTTCAGTGATCGCACCCAACGGTCACTACAAAGGCATACGTCTCTATACCTCATCGGACGGTCGGCTTATGATGTATACGAAGACCAAGGAGTGGGAGTATACGTTGAAAACCGATAACACCATTGAAATCAGTGACAAATTTACCGATAAAAGCGATGCCATTATCACCAGATTTGCCACGAAGTCAGCCGAGATCTGTGACATTTACGATGGATCGGGATCTGTGGCCATTGAATGCAAACTTACAAACGGGACAGTCGTTAAAAGCTCGGACAATACAACTTCGGGATACTTCAACCCAAATGGCCATATATTTCGACCTTTAATTACATCTTCCTATGATTTCGACGATCATTTCGTGGTGATTGTGAACCGGGAGGACAGGCATAAAGACATCACTATTGCAGTTAATTATGAGGCTATTAAACTAATTGACCGCCAATTAGTACCACAAATACATGATTTTGTCGACATATTCACCGATAATTTATGGAAACAAGTCGATGGTATCACTGATTATCAACTAAATAATAGATCCGATTATGTAATCCTATTTAAAGTGAACGGTCGGCCCCTGTATTGTGTCGTAGAAATGAGACAAAATGTGACAGAAGTTTGTCGCGAATTGAAACCACTGTTTGGTCACTGTTTTGGATCAACTCTGGACACTCTCTTGAAATGGTTGACACTGTTTTTGGCCGTAATAGTCGTCGTATTACTCGTCCTATTGATTGTCGTAATAATCGTCAAATGGTGGGGAAAGGGTCGGAGGCGTAGGCGTAGCACCGAAAGTGGAAAGACATTGCATAATAAGTCTAAGAGTAGTGAACAGTCTAAGGAGTCTAAGGGGTCTAATGAATCTAAGACTACCGGTGCCTTGAGGGGTAAACCCGAGGTCGATACCGAATAAACGGATACCAATTTAAGATCATTAGAAAGTTTGTCTTATAAATAGATAATTGTTGTTAATTTTTGTCATATACAGTAACTGTATTGTATACTATTGTAGACTAGAAAATAAATGATAATAATAAATATATTACTGTATATCAAAAGTGGTGGACATGCACTTTATTATTATTAATATGACTACAGTATTACTTTAATCAAATTACAAGCACTTAACACATAATTGCAGCGCTAATAGAGTGCATGACATATACAGTACATAGGAATTGCAGTAATCATACAAATAATAAATACAATTGTAGTAAAAAATATGTAAAGAATTTCTATCATAACATAAAAGTCTAGAATTACTTTTCATTGTATACATCCAGTTAGCGATAAGACTGTCTGTCCCCTCAAATCAGGGCTAATTTTTCATGTATTAATTAAATGTACAGATTATAAGGCTAAATAAAATCATCTATCATTCAATTACTGGTGAAAAATTTGCTGTTTATATAAGATATGAGTTTTTATTCATTTTCTAATATAAATTATTAGTGTTCACAGATAAGATAAAAATAATAATTTTAAAATCCACTTTCTATGGCAAAAAATAAAAGTCCTTGAACATAATATTGTGAATAATGTATATTCGTGATTAAACCAATACTTTTGGAAAACTAGGATATACAGTACTGTATATAAATGTGGGAACACATACCGTTCCTAAAACATACCTCAACCTTCAGTTTGGGAAAAGTTTTTGTGTGAAAAACAGTGAATTTATTTTTGTTGCGAAAAATACCTGTTTTCTCGATTTTAATTACTATTCATTTGCTTAAGTTTTTGTTTAATTGTGTGTTTATTTTGTGTGAATTAAATTTGTGGTCAAAAATATGGATTCCTTGTTATTAGCGGACAGCCCGTACCACAACCCGGTGCTCGCGTTGGATAACACGCGTAATGTTCATAAAGTGAGTGTTAAATGCGATATAATTTATGTTAAATATTATAATTTAGTTATTCAAACATGTGGTTGAATAGTTGCATAACATTAATGCAAAACATTGAATTTTTAACAATTATCATAAGGTTTAGTACCAGTATTTTACTGTATGTTATCTCACTGTTAACAGTAAATGCTGTAATAAATTATTTTAGAAAATTTATTCACAAAATTGATCACAACTTCATAAATAAGTGGGAAAATGATGTAACTAATACTGTACAGTATGATGATTTTTATTCAATCAGTATTACCGTTTTTGTAATTTATAATAGTTTACTGTAATAAAAACCTAGTTTAGTAAATAAATTATATTTTTATCGTATATTTTATCATGGAAAATAATCTAGGTAGGTTAGCACTAATTATTAATAATTAACTGTCAAACAATTAATTACTAATAATCAAACCTAATAATAACTACCAAATACATAATTAATAAATAATTAATAATTACTAAATTACTGTTGTATTAATAAATGTTAATAATTATTAATTACCATAACTAACCAAGATAATTTGATTTAATTTCCCAGATAAAGGAGTTGACAAAAGGTTTTCTACACAAGAGGTCCATACTGTTAGCCGTTTCCAAGACGTTCACCGACGAGATCCGGTTGGGACTGGCGCTCAACCCACCCATGAAGTCCAGCCTAATTATGGCCAACACTTACGTCACACAACTGCCGGACGGCACCGAACGGGGAGACTATATATCCCTCGACTTAGGCTCCACTAACTTCCGGGTCGTATTGACCCGATTCGGAGGTACCGGCGCTGCCAACGAGTTTCACGTCAAACACTATACCGTTCCCAAGGAGTTCCGGAGGGGACAGTCGTCTCACGTATGACTAC